CCTTGCTTCCTGCTAGTAAACTTAGCAAAGAAAACAGGATGGGCTCTGGCAAAGTTGGATAAGGGGGAGGAGATGAAACATGAGTTGCAGAAGGTAATTTTTCCCCATCTCTATCTCCAAACAGTTCTTCTCTCTCTGCCTTATTTACAATGCATGACACTTCCTTTTCCACATCTCACTTAAGAAGATAGTGTCTCCTCTGAATGCAAACCAGAACCTGCAGGCCACGGTAATAGCCCCCTTTAGAAGTCTTGGAAGGAAATGATGCGCCTTTGATGGCCGCAAGACCAGAATTTGGCAGGGTCTCAATGAAATCAGTCTACCACATTCCCTCCCACACAGCACTCAGAAATGCCTTGCATTCATGAAAGATGGCAAAGTATGTTATTTACTGTTTTTGAATGTCTATTCCATGTGCAACACCCTTCCGTTATTGGGCACCACTGCAAAGGAGTGATCTTATGAGTTAATTGGTCAGTACAGGTACGACAACCACCTATCAAAGTGCCCATAAATGGTATTCAGACACATTTGTGGCGAAACAACAAAGAATAGTGCTAGGTTCACAGACTCTGGGGCTACACTGTCTGGGCTTGACTCTCAGATTTACCCCTTACTATCCATGTGGTCTTGAGTAACTTATTAGTTAAGTATTTTTTAAATGATAATAGATAGTATCTTTTTGAAGGTTTTGCAACAATTAAATGATGTAAGGCACTTAGACTAGGACCTCACATCTGGTAAGCACAGATGCCCAGCACATAGTAAGCATCCCACCCCCATTAGGAAGTATTCTGCAAAAGTTAGGCATTACAATGCACGGTCTCCATCATGCTGCCATGATCCAAACTGCAAATAAGGCTCATTCATTCAACAGTCTTTGAGCACCTCCTATGTGCTAGGCACTAGGACTGAAGTTACCACGGTGAAAACAATGAGAGCATAAATGAGCAGTCTTCACAGTAGCTCCACTCAGGACAAATTTAACTTCATCACAACTACTGTATCTCCAGCTACTTCTTTGGGTTTTATGCACGCAATATACATTGTTCATATCGCCAAAGCAAACTGCATAAATTACACTCTGTATAATTTGGTTCCATCACTAGTATTTTGGATTTCATATCTTAAAAAGTAAATATGAAGATGAGCAAAAGGTTAATAATTGTGGAAGGTGAATGATGGGTACATAGGATTCATTTGCTATCCTCTCTACTTTTATATGTTTTTCCATGATAAAAAAGTTTTGTGTTTTAAGAAAGTCTAACCAAAGTGTTGCCACTGACTTTTCCATTGTCAGTGTCTTGGCGTTACCTCTGTGAAATGGTCGAAGCAGAGAGGCAGGTGGATGGAAACTTGCACTTTTGACTTTGTATATTTCTAAAACATTTTGTCAAAGCAAGAAAGTGTTACTTTTACTACAAAAAAAAAGTCCAAATCAATATCAACTCTGTCTTCTAGTGGCTGTTATATTTTCAGATAGTGTCATTTGTTGATTACATTTTTGCATGACACTTTCTCCTTTCTTGTGTTTATTCACTTAATTTGTTTCCAATGTTTACCAGAAGCTGTGACTACCCTGCCAGAGGTGGACTAGATTTCATAGCTGGTGTGTACTCATGACTATCATGCGTTAAGAGATTATGAGCATACCCTTTCTCCCTCATTATCCTATTTCCTTACACACCCACGTTTGCTTTACTCTCTATGTGACATATTTTTAACTTAAAATGTTTTTGTATGTTCAAGGTAAAGAAGGCTATGTCACCAGAAAGCCAGGCTTGCCTTTGACGTATCTATCAGTGAAAGGGCGAAGGCTACGCCCTCCACCTTCCCCCAGGTTAAGGGCTACGTCCTCCATCTTACCTTGGCCACGTGTTGGGCAAGGAGCTTCTTCACGGAAGTCTCAGACTCTGCTAGCCACACCCAGGAACGGGACATCGACTTGTGCCTGGCCAATCGGCAAAGCACAGTCCTTTCTCCTCCCTTACTCCAACCCCCCCCCCCTATATAACCGGTCCCTGGGCGGGGTTGGCCGCGCTCAGCCACTTGGTTTGCCTGGGTGTCGGTGAGCCTGGTGGATGGGGAGCCCAAGTTAACTTGAAATACAGATTCTTATGCTTTTGCATCGAATTGGCCCCCTGATGTGGTTTCTTGGGAATCTTGAAATCTGGGCACAACAATCAGAATTTGGTTTCATTCTTTTTTTTTTTTTTAATCCTCACCCGAGGATATTTTTCCATTGATTTTAGGGAGAGTGGAAGAGAGAGGAAAGACAGAGAAATATCGATGTGAGAAAAACATATTGATTGGTTCCTCCTGCAAGAGCCCCAACAAGGGCCCAAGCCGGGGAGGAGCCTGCAAAGAGGTAGGTATCCTTGACCAGAATCTAACCCAGGACCCTGTGGTCCACAGGCCAATGCTCTATCCACTGAGCCAAACCGGCTAAGGCTTTGGTTTTATTCTTAAAGTCTTACATTCTAATAAATATAACCCCCTGCCAAAAAATAATTAAATTAAAATAAGACAAACTCCCCATCCTTTTTGTGAAACAGATGAGACAGAGCTTCATTACTTCTACCTGCAAAGGAAAATCTCAGTTACTATAGGTATGTATGCCTTTATGCCCTCCCAAGCTCTCCCACATAGTTTCTTGTTATATCTTACATACGGATAAATAGAACAAGTTTTAAATGTGGAAAGCATGCAGGAAATTTAAATAATTCACACAGCACCTGAAAAGAGTGTCAGAAAATAATGAAAGTAGCCACCACTCATTGAGCAGGCACTGTTCTGAATGCTTCACTTCTTCCTCTATTCTATAGCATCCTGTGAGGGTAAAAGAGAGTAAGGACAAGAAATTACTCTTAATTTAAATAAATGTTCCTTTGTCTTCCTAAAAGTCGTGCAAAAAAAAAGTTGTTTTATCTGTTTTAAAACAATATATAGTTTTCTCATCATTAGTTAATGACATGATATTAATCAAGACACTCTTTGCTTTTTAAAATAAGAAGAAGAAGTAGATTTTCTGTGCCAGGTACTTT